CATATGATAGAGCATTAAAAAAAAAAAAGTTTGATGAATATTATTTTTTCTAAAACGTAATAATGAACACACACTATCAAATTTAATTTTCAAAAAAACGCTTTTCTTCCATTAAAAAAAATGCGCCTTGTCCAAAGTTTATTGACTCTATTGCCTCAAAAAACTAACGTTAGTACGTCAAATTAAACAAAGTAGACAAAATGTCATTATTGCAAACTTATTAATTGGTAATTAAATCTAAAAGTAAAGTCGTTTTTTTTCAACTAACACATAATTACTTACAAGAATATGCTTTGTAGCATTTTGTGAAAATATATTTGTATATTAAATTTTTTTTTATAAAATTAATTTATATATTTGTGTTATAAGGGCAATTCCACGGCTAAAAATGAATAGAAGTCAAATTTTAAACTCTTTTTAGTCAATTAGAAATAAATGAATATTGACTTAGACATATGAAAGTTTATTTAAAATATTTCCTTAGTAAATAAATAAATTTATTTCAGTAATTTTTATGGTTTCAAAAGTGACGGTTACTCTCATTTTTGCTTGATAAAAAAAATAATGATTGTAAAATGTTTTAGTTAAATTAACATTTATGTTAAATTGCTATATTTTTTTGGTTCAAATTGATAAGGTTGAGTAGACATTTTATTAGAAATTAAACTAAGACAGGGCTCGAATTAACGCAAAAAAATCTAATCGCGAAAAAAAAATTTTTTTTTTTGCTCTCTTCCCTTCCCCCCCTCTCTCTTATAGCTCTCTCTCCCCCTCCCCTCTCTCTTATAGCTCGCGCCGATGTGCGGTAATTGGGGGAAAAAATTATCGTCAATAAATCAAAAAACATCGTCAAAAATTTAATAAAAAATTAGATACCACGTTTTTTATAATTTATTGTTTCTTGAATAAAGGACTAATAAAAGTTTAAATATAATTAAGTTTTTCATTTAAATGGTTGATGCTTTTATTCAATTTTTCTATTTCAAGTTTTCCAATAAAAGATAAAACAAAAAAATTTGCTTTAATAAATCGAATTATACTTCAAGTTTAAAAAAAGGCTTAAAAACGTTAAAGTAAAAAAATTGCTGGTTTTTATTAGCATTTTTATACTGTTTGAAAAAAAAAACTAATAAAAAAGAATTAACTAATAATATATTAATTAATAATTATATATTAATTCATTTTTATCAGTTTTTTTTTTCAAACAGTATAAAAATGCAAATAAAAGTCAGTAATTTTTTTGCTCTAACGTTTTTAAGCATTATTTTAAACATGAAGTTTTGATAAACAAAGATAAAAACCAACTTTTCAACTTTTCGCTTTAACGACCTTGTAAAAATTTTCCACGCAGAGATTTAATGTAATTTAAATTCAAAAATGTTTTACGTTGAAAGAAAATCTCCGCGCGAAAGAGCAAATTATCTATTCAGAATAAAAAATTTTGTGTGACGTTCTTTATGATAAAAACATTACTTTGAATAATTGCTAAAAAAAATGCTAAGTTAGAAAAAAGTAATTAATCAACCAAAAAAAAAACGAGTCGCGAAAAGATTTTTTTAAAGAAAAAACTAATCACAAAAGTGTGCGTAGCAATCGCGATCGCGATACGCTTAATACGAGCCCTGTTAGACTTTTTTATAAGTTCTAAACTATTTAAAACTATTACTTAATAACTTTTTTTTAACGACGTCTTTCAACCGAATGCTTTCAACCGAATATGTTTTTGCAAAACTAATTTAAAAAACTTGATTAAAACTTAACTATTTAATCACGACTTTTTTTTACTTAAAAATCGAAGTAGATATTCTAAAGTTGTTGTGACGTACTAACGTGATTTTTAACGACTAACAATCGAGTTTCAATGGTGAAAAAATAAAATCAAAATGGAGTTGTTTTTTAGTGATTTCGGCAATTGCTTTTTGTTAGCATGCATTTATTATTACAATTTAGGGAAAAAGAAAAAAAACTTACATATTTTTTTTTTATGCTCTTTCATATGAGATCATATGTTAGGAGCACTTAGGGATCCCTTTAACTAGCTTATTAAATGTTTATAAATTTTTTAGCAATTAATCACTTTTTTACAAATATTTATGCAGTATGATTTAATGGGTATTTTGACATTTTTTATTTTTACTAGTAAAGTTTTAATGACTGTGGGAAATGTGCATACCAAGCAGCACACTTAGTGCATTTTTATTTGTATTCTGTGATACATATAAAAAGTGTACAAGTACACCTTTATAAGTAAAAGATCAATCTGAACTCCTACCAAAATTAATTAGGCTTGGCCATCTAAACTTTTTGCCATAAAATGTAGCCAATATTTTTTTTAAATAATAATTTAGAAAATCAGAAAAAAATTAATTTTTTTTTAAATTGATAGGAAATCTATCAATTTAAAAAAAATGCCTAGGGGTGGTAAACGATTAACAATTAATCAATTAATCGGTTAATAAAAATTAATTTTTGATCGATTAATTAACAAACAATTCATTTTTTGCTTTAAAATGCTATAATTGTTATATTATTTTTTTGTTAACAATTAGTTGTTATAATAAAAAAAAGCATTTTGTAGTTTTGTTTTTACTTTTCCGACCGGTAAAAAAAATGTAAACAAATAATACAACGCGGTTGTAGAGAAGCCTGAACACTATTTACAATGTAAATGGTGTCTGGAAAAAGTCGTTCTGACGTTTGGAAACATTTTTCAGTGGAAAATAAAGTAAAATCATCATGCAAATGCCAACATTGTTCGGTCAAAATTAAATTCCATTCATCGACTTCAAGTTTTTTATATCATTTAGAGCACAAACATAAAATTTTTCCGACCAAAATTGTTTCAGAAAAAATATATATATATATACAGCCAAGTGTTGCTGTCTACTGTAACAAATAAAAAAACAGGTAATGAAGCTGAAGAAGCTCATTTACCAACTGTAGATCATATATCTTTTGCAACTTGGGTTAATAGTAAAGATATTAAAAATGGCTGGAAAGCTCATGGACTTAATGGAACTAGAAGGTATTTGTGTCTTAATGCACATTGTTCAGACAAATTTTATTATAGGTCTTGGAGTAATTAGAATAAATGGTTCAACGCCTTCAGAAAGAGCAGTTAATATTGTTATTGAACAGTTAAATGATTTTGGCTTAAATTTGATCAATGATATCTTTGGGTGTTGCATCAGCCATGAAAAAAATAGGATAAGAATGGAATCACCCACCAAATTTGCTATTGCCATGGAATTCATCTTGTGGTATGTGATATTCTTAATAAGAAAAAAGCTTCACCAACATAAACAACTGGAGAGGAACTATTTATGAAAGAGCTAAATGAAAATGATGAATCTTGTTCTGATCCTGATGATGAAAATGAAAATGAAGAATGCTGGAATGAGAAAAGTATCAGCTTTGTTGATAATGAAATGCAATTCATTGAGGACCATGGTATTATTATATCAAAGGTTCATAAATTGTCAAGCTGTTTAGAAAATCACCACTTAAAAATGATTTGTGAAAAACATTTGAAGATCAGATTTAGGAAAAGAGTTTAGGCCTGG